CTCCACGCTAGTAAAGCAAACAAATGCGCGTCCGTATCTGGAAAACCTTTTTATTATGTCAAGAAATGTCTTATTTACACGTCTCGTGATTCCCACGCCGGGTGATTTTGGATGTCGGCAAGTGCGAAAAAAGTAATTACCGAGGATTCCAAAGTAACACCTCAGTCGTATGAAGGCGCGAATTGTGATCTCCCGTTTCAGTTAATCATAAGCCATGGGTAGATTCAATCTACCCTTAGCCTAATTTGCATAATTTTTTTTGGTGAGCAAAGCCCGTCATGTTACTCTGATTACACAATCTAGATGACAAAAGCTTTTTTAAAAAGTGCGCCGACTGAGATTAGCGAAACTACATAAAAGGTTATTAATTAATAAAAGAGACCAGTGTTCTTGCCGTAAACGGAATTACGGTTCCACAGTTCTTACTGACAATGCTGCCAGAATAAGTTTACAAACAAGTTTTCATAGTACCGTGTCATTCGCGCTTAAATATATGATCGGACTGTTGCATGATACAACGTACAACTGTTCAGCTGAAACAATTAGTTTAGCTGGATTAACTGGAACAAAGGTTGTTTACGACTTTCGGGGTAAAGTAGTTAAGTAGTTCGGGTCCATGAGACCAGTGTAGTACCGACAAAGAACCGATCTTAACTTGTATGAACTTTCTCGTGGAAACTTTTTGATGTGGCACATACACGTACCCAAGTTTGGAAAAAAAATTGGAACCGTTGTGCGTTAGCTAGCTGCAGTCCGGTCATCACTTCCTATAACAGGCCTTTAATGTAAACCTCGTTTTCTCGGTAGTCTCCAATAAACCTGGCACCTTATTATAACACTCAAAACACGCAAAAGATGAAAAACAATTATGTAAGATCAATGATTCGATAAGTATCTGAAAACACGCTTTATTCGAAAACACTCAAATTATGTAAAATCAACGTCCAATAAATAGTCAAAACACACCATAGAAACGTAAAAGTCAGTAGGAAAGCGAATAAAACTGTAAAAGTACAAAATTGTATGCCAACACTATTTCGCAGTGACAAAACCTATTCCCTTTGAAAACGAATCCGAAAAACCCTCCTAGTGCAAACTTAGCCTTGACTTTCTTGATTAGACTAATATAACCAAAAACGTAAGATGTCAAGCAATAACGATCAGATTTACTGACAATTCATTTTGAATGCATACTTGAACTTTGTGAAAACTCCAAGCAATTAGGCATAATAAATCCACACGAGGTTAAAAAAATGTTGAGCGCGCTTCCTAAACACATGGTCATTTAGCGGCTGCTCGGAAGAGAAGTCACCAATGGTGCCTAACCTTGACCCCAAAAAATACTAAAACAATTGGAAGAATGATATGTTATTGTTTCCTGCGACCAATTAGGAGGGACCTTACGAGCAGATCCTACACTACTCTAAACAAATGTAGCGAGTCAATAGTACACTCGATGCCTCACACAGAAGTGTTAAGATGTGGGTCATATCAATGTTCATACTAATACATTTCACACTGGAACACTTGATCCTAGAAGTGCATGATTAATATGAATAAAATATAACGAAAACAAACGCGATTAACTGTCAAATAACATCAATAAAATAATAGAAATTCAAACATTTTTGAAACGATTGCAAGTATCGATCATGGACGCTAGAACTGCGTGAAAGTTTAACTGTTACGGCTAATTTCATTTTTGATTTGCCTCTTTAATTTTTCTCATGTCCAAGAGTGATATTTGTTCTTATCCACGTCTGGGAACTTGGTCCTTCCATTTGAAGAGCAACTCACTGAAGAACAATACATGTTCTCCTCCTCCTTTGCCAAAAGTAGTAGGCGTGTTATCCGATGCGGTCCAGCACTTCAAGGTATATCCAGACCCTCCAATATGCCACCACCAAGTGATTTCACAGATATTATGATATGGATCTTTCATGATCAGCTCAATTCCCTTATCATAGGCATCTGCATGTTTCATCCAATCTTGGTTAAAGAATAGCTTACCATTAGTTGGCCAGTAACCAACATCTATGCCAGCGTCCTGTAAATAGCCAAAAAAAATCGTTTCTTTATTACTTCTGAACGCTTCCACAAAGGGGGGGGGGGTTGACTTTGGTTAGCCTTGCTGGGTATGTACCGCTGTCCTCTCAGAGCCTCTACCCTATTATAGTCTGTTCTGTGGCCAGTTATAGACCCCGTCTTAGTCACTTTTGGGCAAATATGTAATTTTCGCGATCCCAAGTTCGCCACTGTCTATTTAAGTATCTACTTTATCAATCCTTTAAATAGGCCATCCTAAAATGAATTGACCTTTTTTTTTTTTAATTGAAGGTACACTTTGCGTTACACCTACAGTAAATACATTCTAGTACGTTTGATAACCGTAATTATGAAGAACTTTTTTACCCCAAAAATCCTAAAATGTGCGACCCCATTCCAGTAACTTTATTGAAAATGCGACCCCGTTATAGTCAATCCAGTTGTGAAAATGCCACCCCATTAGGTAGCCTCTCTAAGGAAGTGTCACCTAAATAACGTCGGATTTAGTTTGCAGGTAGATATTGCCAAAAATAAATTTTGTCTGCTTAAATTTTAATAGTTAATCTCCACTGATGATCAATAAATATTCGACTTCCCCTTCACATTTTAAAAATCACTTTATACGGATGGTTAAGGCCAAACTGAACGGGAATGCGCCTGAATCAAGGATAGTTATAGCTGTCTTATTCATTATCTGAGTAATCCTTAGGTGAAAATTGCATTTCAAAAAAAGTGATTTTTATCTTACTCTATTAAGATGCTCTTTCTTGGTTTTTAACAAATCGGCTCTTGCTTCTTCCATCAGCTTTTCCTTCGCCTTTCGTTCCTCTTCTTGTTCTCTGAGCTTTCTCTGTTTTTCTTGTTGCGCTTCCCGCTCTTCCTTCCTGGCCTTTTCGTCTTTGCACCAGGTTTCCTCTAGGACAGAAGCCGCCCCCTCAAACTCTTTCCCAAGATCTCTGATTAACTCCCAGACTGGTATATAGCCTTCGAAGCTGCCACGATCAATTAACGCCCAGGTGGAGTTGTATGAAAGTAACTTGTGAAACGTAGACGGATTCGTTGCTGGTGGGCCCATGGACTTCACAGAATAGGTGAATCTCTCATTGTCGCTGGTCTCGTGTTTCTCGTCAGTTTTACCTGAACCAGTGGTGTGCTCACCAGTGACGCTTGCTCCAATCCCGAACGCTCCGCTAAGAAAGCCAAACGAAATTTGAGCATTAAGGTGATCCACGGCAGTCTCAGTCAGCTTGAATGTATCTGTGGTGCTTTTACTTTCGGCATCAGCAATGCTAAAAAACACACCGCCAAGAGTCTGGACACCTGCAGGAAAATGGCTTCCGTATCGGTCCATGAAGATACGAGCTGATTTCTCTCTCTTTGCTGCATTGGCTTTTGCATCCTGGGTTATCGCCTTGGCCATTCTTCTGGCTGTCAAGGAAATATTTAGTTGGTCTCGCTCGAGTTGGAATGTTTTCTTGGCGGTGCGAATGTACTGTAGGACGGATGCACTGGTGGTTGATGATTTTACCGAATGATCTTCTTGGCTACTGCTCTCATGGCCATGCCCGCCTTGCACCTCCCCGACGAACAAGCTGTAGAAACCAGCCACGCCAATGCCAATGTTAGTGCTGGACGACGCTACTGTTCGCACGTATTGGGCAGCTGTCCCCTTTGCAGAGAATTTCATGTAGTTTATTTCCTAGGCACTGTTAGGATTGGTTAAGGTGACAGTTGTTGGTATTAATAGTAGTGGTCTTCCTGCCGGTTTTGGTGGTTTATACTCGGAATGATAAATCCCACATAAAGCTTTACCAGCGCTGGCTCTGGTGACGATTTCTACCTCACTCTTGTACGAGTCTGGGGACTCCACAACATTGCTGCACTGCCCAATAATTTCATCCAGTTGCTGGAATAACTGTTCTGGTTTTACTTCATCTTGCTTAAACCAATCCGCCGGAAGCTCAAGTGCGTCCACGATTTCTCTTAGTTTTTTATTAACGGCTTCTTTCGATGAATCTAAACCCTTTTTAGCCATAGCTTTGGCGTCATTCATCAATTCTTTAGCTTTTTTCAGCTTCTCTTCGTCCACAGCTTTGTATTTTTGTTTTCCTGAATGAGTTTCTCGTCTTGTGGGACAGCAGCGAGTTGGTTTTTGTGTGATTCCGCCTTTTCTACCAGTCGGTAAACCTCCTCCATTTCTCCTTCGTCTGCCCCTTCGCAACATTTTTCTAGCTCTTGCAATCTCAGCCTTGTAAGTGCTTGGAAGGAAGGAGCTCTTTTGCAAAGGTTTTCCACCCAATCTTTCGAAACATCAACGCCTTTACCTTTGAGTGCGCCAACTACTTCAAGATTTGGTCCGAGTCTTTTATTTATCATCTCTAACCCAGCTTCACGTACTACTTCTGGTTGACTGGAGTTTTTATCTAGGTATTCTGCAAGTTCTGGAATATTGGTTAGGTAATTCACTACAAGATGAATTGCTTCGAGCTGCAAACCTTTACGTTCTATCATCTTTTTGAGCCCTTCTTGCAGCCCTCGACAGGCGACAGCTTTCAGCTCATTCAGAAGGCTTTCTTTGACGCCTGCATCTTGCAGATTCGATATCTCACCATATAATTTTCGAACTAATCCCTCAGATTCATTGGGTTTATTTTGTGGAATTTCAGCGATTGCCTTCTTCAGTTCATCGGTATTTGTCTTGTTACCTTGAATAAAAAAGATGAAATTGAACGTTTAACCATCGTACCTTATAGCCTGATCCCAGGCGTACCTGTTTATTGAGCCATAGAAAACCCAGTAACAGGACAAAAGGATGTTGAAAAGTGATGGCACACTCGTTCTCTCCAGCAAGAGTGTGCTAAAGAACGATAAAAAAAGAAAATAAGCAGCCTGCGTTGACGCTGGCTCACCCACCCTCAAAACTATTGAGCAACACAGTTGGTGCAGAGAGGCTGGGACACAGGCTACGAGTTTTGGGAACAACTTTGATGTCCCGGAATGTCCACACCGAAAGTGGGAAATAAAATGAAATACTTTATTAACTTGGTCACTTTAATAATAACTCTATTTCTTTCTTTCTTTCAGAAATCCATCTAAACGATGGTGTAACATTTTATTTTATATTATGTTTTAGTAACACTGCCACAAGGAGGACACGTCGAAGACCACGCAAATGCCAGGTTGCTACATGTTACGCATTTAGAGCACAATTTTAAAACGGACACTGCATAAAAGCGTTTACAGTGAATAACCTTGCTGGGGTCAGGAAGAATTCTGTGAAAAGTGCTGGACACTTGATTTTATTAAGGACAGAAAAGATTGCAGGGAGTGTCCTCGGTCACCAGAGTCTGGGTGGCCTTTGACAAGTTTGGGAAACCACTAAACCATCAGTTTGAGAAACCACTAAACCACCCCCAACTAGGGTTATAACAAGGCTATACGAGAGGCTCCTTAGTCTTGGATGACATCCCTAGGAGAAGATGAATCTGAAGAACGAACTTGTCGGTCAAGTAGCTGATCTTCAAAGTTTAATTGGGGACGAACGATAAAGAACGACGTTAATTGAATCCGAAGTACCGGGTTGAGGGTGTCATTCCTAGTAGGGTGGCTTGGAGACAGAAGCCAGCATCAGGTTGCTATTCACCACAGCCATGAGTAAAAAAAGGTCCAAGGCAAGAGTCGATTAAGGATTACAGCAACCTTGTTACTAAGTCATATTTCAAGAGTGGCTCTGTTACCAGAGGTTGAAAATGTCTCTAAAAACCGCAGCTCAATCAATGATTTACTTTCAAGTCAAGGATAAAAGAATAGATTGGGGGAAGAAAATAGTTCCTTCAAAACAGGTTTTTGAGACAACCAAAGAAAACGTCATAGTTACTATTGTGGACATTGAGAAAATCAAATCTTAACTGAATTCAGATCTGACTGCCAAGAAAGGAAAGTAAACTGAAAGTAAAGTAACCTGAAAGGTTTATTAGTGCAAGGGTTTTGGATAAAAAACTTGACCGCCCTTCACCACAGTATAGCAAACCAGCTGCAATCCTACCGCTAGAATGTGAAAACATTCGCATTGAGGGAAGGAGGGTCCTTCCAATATGACAGACCTGGAGAAATTGAAGCCCCATTAGCGGGTAATTTATTTATTTATTAAGCTTAGCCCCTACCCCACCCCCAAAAAATAATAATAATGATAATAATAATAATTATTATTATTATAACAATAACAATAATAATAATAATAATAACATACATATACATGACAGGGTCACCACAACAGATAAACCAATTACTGTGGGCCCGACAATTGACAAAATATCAAAAATTAAAGCAACATTAGGATTGGAAAAAGAAAAGCTAGATGGAAAGGCTAAAAGCAGCAGGCGACGCGGCTAGTTAGAGTGCGAGCGTAGTTACATTTTAGGCAAATTGTTTTCCATGTTCTGGGGTCCTCTACATTTTAGCAAGTCCGTAGGGCGGTGGCATGGTAATCCCTCAGAAGTCTCTTAAACTGGGCTAAGCTTAACTTATTTGATCTTAAATCTGACGGAAGTGGGTTCCAAATTCTTGTGACACGAATAAAAAAAGGAGCGCTGGTATGTAACGGTATTACGTTACATGGACAGAAGGGTTTTACATTCACTGATACTAGTTGATCTAGTCACACGTACGCTTGGGTTCTCTAGGAGTAGGTAGAACTTCTTGGGATGTATATGAACAAGTCCATCCATAGCTCCAAAAAAGAACATGAGGTAATTCCTACCCCATGGCCTGTTTATCTGTTAAGTGAAAACTGCTAACGGTAATGATAGCTGACTAGCTCTACGAGTTCTCATGGAAGCAATTAACTGCCCTGGATTAATGAAATGGTTCTATCAAAGGCCAAATGGAAGATTTGTTTTGTGCAACTCAAAATGTTTAGAGCTGATAGGTTGCTGAAAACTCTGTAAATGGCTAGCAAACGGAACTAACATAAGATATAAAGAGTCACTATGTCTCCAACAAAAGAGGCATTTCCAAGGGGGATTCCCTGTCCTCGCCCCTTTTTTGTGATCTCCCTGACTCAACCTCAGAAAGTATGAAGTAAGTTACATATGTGCAGTATAAAGATTTATAGCATGATCTAAGGCTTAACGCTAGAATTGAGAGTCAGCAGGACTCACTGATACAATCGTCATTTAGAATATTCAGCCAAGACACTGGTATCAAATTTGCCATTAAGAATGCTGTCTTGGTCTTGAAGCGTGGTTAGCTGGCAGAGTCAGAAACTATTACACTGCTTGCTAATAGTACAATAATAAGAGAAATCAATGGACGAAAGTGAAGGATGCAAGTATTTAGGAGTGCTTGGGACTGAAGGCATGTTGCATGACTAAATGAAGGATAAATCGGAAAGAAACTACAACACGTTAGAAAAGTTGCTCTCTTGAAATCGAACGGTGGAAATTTGACACAAGCCATGGACATCTGGGTACTTTCAATTGTTAAATATTCTACATAAATTTAGAAGTCAGAACAAGATAGTTGCTAACCATGAATGTTGGCCTTCATCCAGGAAATTGTGGAGTTTGACTTCAGTGCCAAAGAAGTAGGGCCCTGAGAGAGAAAGGCCTCGACACATTCTTAGAGGAGTGTGACAATCAAACAATGCAAGGGTATCCAATTGTTGAAAATAGGTAGTTGCCGGAAGGGGTTGAAAATTAAGAAACGGCCACGATGGCTTTTCAAGCAAGGAGAAGAACTGAAAATAGCAGGAAAAAGTTGGTTTAAGCGAAATCGATGGTGGTATTATAACCTGAAAGTGTGGTTGAAACGTGTGCTAACCAACATGAAACTGGGACCAGGAGAAACAAAACATATTGGCGGAAATTTAAGATCTGCATCTACATTTACATTTTATTGCGGAGGTAAAGTCGATTAGACATCACAACAACTTTTTGTAAGAAATAAAGCGCATGGCAAGTAGCTAAATAGAATAGGTGAACCTTTATATGTATGTACAGATATATAAGGAAATATATCGAAATAAATATATTTAATAAGTTTCGTCCTAGTCCTGTCTCATTCATATTTAAGATAATTTGCTAAATTTGTTTTAAAACAGTTCAGTGACTTAGAATTTACAATCTCTGAAGGCAAAGAATTCTGTTCACATATGGATCTAGGAAAGAAAGAGCTGAACTTGAAAACGTCCTTGAAAATTTGGGCATTCTATACTTAAATGGCTCCTACGTCTTCTGGTCTCGCTATTCGGCAAAGGGAATTTTTTTGTGAATAAAAATAATATATTATATATAATATTTTGGTCAATAAAAATATAATATAATATAATATTATATATAATATTTTGGTCAATAAAAACGCAAAAAAGAATGGCCAATATCCAGCCATCTTGACCGAACAAGCATGGTCAATGACGCATATGTAAATTTTTCAAAGACCACAAACTGCACTCACCGCCCCCTCGCCCTACGGGCTCGTTTACTATTGTTACTCGTGCCTATTTTGTCTTATTTATTCCATATTGCCCTCGAAATCATGTTATTGTCTAATACTTAACAAAAACTTTATTTTCAAAAAGTATTTTTAGCAAGAATTACTTGAAAATTGGTAAAGCCTAAACCAAATTTTCCAAATACGGTATAGCTGCTAGGATGACTGTCGCACAAAAGCATTGTCAGCTGCAGTGTT